TTGTGTCACCACTGACTTGTCAGGTAGGTCTTTGATCGGGTGTAAAATGTGGTTAGGGTTACGGACATGTGGAAGTACTTTTGATCTGGTGGTAAGTTCAAGGTTCAAAATATTTTTTTTTTCCGAAAACCATGATTTTTCTACTTATCTTTGTAAGATGAAAATATAGACAAGGGAGAAGATTTTGAGGATTAATAGGAGTTTAAAATGTAGCCAATGTGGCTTTTGAAGAATGACTCCTATTTATCATAAGTGCATGAAAGATGGTGGCCAACTGATCACTTTTTTTTCTTCTTTTTCTCTTTGTTAATTTTTTTTCGAGTGGCCAACAATTCCATTTTTCAAAAATGCACTTACAGAAATCGTTTCTCCCTATCTCAACTTTTGTATTTAATAAATGAAGCAGAAAGTCATTCGTTTAAACCATTCACACGGAACCTTGAAAAAGGGTTCAAAATGAATTGAGGGTTGAAGAACAAGGATTGGTTTAAAACAGGTTGTCACCGAACAAAAAGGCTCGTCTCAACGGGGTTTGACTAAGGGATATGATGTTCAGGGTAGTCATTTTGGTTGTAGGGGTAGAACCTATTGCCTCCTTCATCCTTGTCAGTGGTGTCACGACTCAAACATGTATAAATCAAGCATATCATCATGCACAGAGAGGGATCTAACACACAAGAAAGAAACGATCATGGTTTACTATATGCTCAGTTTCCCATGCTATACTTCCCAAACATTATGCAACAACAATCAAAGATGATAAATTTATTTTTCAAAATTTCAGATAGTTCTTTCCATCAAAGAATGAGTAGCACGAGAAACATTTGTTTTAATCCCTCAGTCGTCATTATAGGTGACATGCATCCAATTCGCACTATTCTTGTACCAATTTTAGACAAAGATGTGACTCAAAACAAAACACTCTTTTTAGTATTTAATTGAATTTTTTTAAAAAATTTTATGATTTTCAAACTTTTGTTTTATGGATGATGAGATTATTGAAAACAATCACAGTGATTCTTTGTCAAAACACATGAAAACGAACGAATATACCTCCCCGCACTTGAATTGGACATTGTCGTCAATGGACGAAAATATAGGTTGACATGCATCCAAATATAGTGGCATGATGTTCGGTGATTGTGGTTCCACTTGGCAAGTTCTTTGGTTGATGTTTCATGTCAGTTTTTATTCTTGAAATTGAAAAACTCAAAGAAATATAAAATAAAAGAAAGGGAAGGAAAATGCAAACCGACATAAGGTTGCCTCCCAATAGCGCTTCTTTAACGTCGTATTAGCTGGACTGTAGTGTACTTCGTCAAGGTTTCTGAAGATGAAGTGCCTCGGCATTGGGGTCAAAATTGCCACCGAGGTATGGTTTCAGACGATGAACGTTGACTTTGAAAGTTCCCCTCTCGGGATGCAAAATTTCAGCAACGCCGTAGGGAAATACTTGTGTGATCACATAAGGACCGGTCCATATGGACTTGAGTTTTCCAGGAAACAAACGAAGACGAGAGTTGTATAGCAAGACTTGATCTCCAACGTGGAAGTTTTTGTCTTGCTTTATCTTCGAATCGTGGAGTCGCTTCGTTCGTTCCTTGTATAACTTGGCGTTTTCATAGGCTTGTAGGCGCATTTCGTCAAGCTCATTGATTTGGGCCTGACGATGGTCCTTGGTAGCATCTCCGTCGAGGTTGAGATATTTGAGCGCCCAGTAAGATTTGTGTTCCAACTCGACGGGGAGGTGACGGCCTTTGCAATACACCAACCGATATGGTGAGGTGCCGATTGGTGTTTTGTATGCCGTACGGTAAGCCCATAGTGCAGTGTCGAGCTTTGTTGCTCAGTCCTTTCTTGATTGACTGACTGTTTTCTCCAATATCCTTTTGAGCTCACGGTTGGTGACCTCCACCTGTCCACTAGTTTGAGGATGGTACGCGGTGGAGACCCGGTGAGTTACACCAAATCGTTGGAGAACTTTGTCGAATTGACCTTGGAAATGGGTTCCTTGGTCGCTGATGATTGCTCACGGTGATCCAAACCTGGAAAACAGTTTCTGCAAAAACTTTCCAGCACTTCGAGAGTCATTAGTTGGCAAGGCTTGTGCCTCGACCCACTTGGATACATAATCCACTGCCACGAGTATGTATTTGTTCCCGAATGAGGTCGGGAAAGGTCCCATGAAGTCCATTCCCCAAATATCAAATATTTCACAAACAATGGACATTGTTTGTGGCATTTCATCAAGTTGGAAAATATTACCTGACCGTTGACACGCATCACAGGTGCGTACATACGCATCACAATCTTTGAAGATTGTGGGCCAATAAAATCCACATTCCAATACCTTTCGCGTTGTGCGGTTGGCTCCGTGGTGTCCTCCAATCGGCTTGGTGGCAATGAGAAATTATGCTCCATGCTTCGGGTTGCGGGATGCATCGGCGAATGATACAATTTGCACACACTTTAAACATATATGGCTCTTCCCAAAAATAAGATTTAAGGTCAGAAAAAAATTTCTTCTTTTGTTGGTATGAGAGCCCAGTTGGCAGAGTCTTTCCCACCAAGTAATTGGCAAAATCCGCATACCACGAGGTGTCAATTTCAAATCTTCCTAATGTATAGAGTCGTTCATCGGGAAATGTTTCATTGATTTCATCCGAAACATCATCTTTTGGATTTTCCAGTCGGGAAAGGTGATCTGCTGCCAAATTTTTTGCGCCTTTTTTATCTCGAATTTCGATGTCGAATTCTTGGAGAAGAAGAATCCATCGAATCAGACGAGGTTTAGCGTCTGTCTTGTTCATTAAATACTTCAAAGCAGAGTGATCAGTAAAAACAACGCATCGTGATAAAACTAGGTATGATCGGAACTTATCAAATGCAAACACCACAGCTAGTAATTCCTTTTTAGTTGTTGTGTAATTTTCTTGAGCATCATTTAAGGTTTTACTTGCATAGGAAATTGGTTTGAAATGTTTGTCATACCTTTGGCCGAGGACAGCTCCTATGGCGTAGTCAGATGCATCACACATGAGTTCGAACGGGAGGCTCCAGTCGGGACCCACCATAATCTGGGCGTGGGTCAGTTTGTGCTTTAGTGCGCAAATGCGTCATTGCATTCAGCCGTAAAGTCAAATGGAGCATCCTTCTCGAGAAGCTTTGTCAATGGTCAAGCAATTTGGAGAAGTCTTTGATGAAGCATCGATAGAAGCCGGCATGCCCAAGAAACTCCTTATTGCTTTCACATTGACTGGTGGTGGAAGGTTGGAGATGACGTCAATTTTGGCTCGATCAACCTCGATGCCTTGTGATGAAATTTTGTGTCCAAGGACAATGCCCCCGGTCACCATAAAGTGGCATTTCTCTCAATTGAGAACGAGATTCGTCTCTTCGCATCGGATTAGAACTTTCGGAAGTTGTGGAGGCATCCATGAAGACTTCCATGATATCTCCCACCAACTCGTCAAAGATGGCAATCATACACAGTTGAAAGGTTTCTGGTGCATTGCACAATCCGATAGGAATGCGCCGATACGCAAAAGTTTCGTACGGACAAGTGAATGTGGTTTTCTCTTGATCTTATGGTGAGATGGGAATCTGAAAGTAGCCAGACATCCCATCAAGGAAGAAATATTAATTATGGCCAGCCAATCTCTCGAGCGTTTGATCAATGAATGGGAATGGGAAGTGATCTTTTCTGGTGGCATCATTCAGGTGACGATAGTCGATGCAGACTCTCCAACCGGTGACTGTTCTGGTGGGGATGAGCTAATTCTTTTCACTGGTGATGACGCTCATCCCGCCTTTTTTCGGGACTACCTGGACAGGGCTCACCCATGAACTGTCAAAGATGGGGTAAATTACTCCAGCATCGAGTAACTTGATCACCTCAGCTTTCACTACTTCCTTCATGTTCGGATTGAGTCGACGTTGGGGCTGGACCACCGGCTTATAGTCATCCTCCATCGGAATTTTGTGCGTGCAAAATGAGGGATTGATTCCTCGAATGTCGGAGATCTTCCAAGCCAAGGCTCGTTCATGACTTTTTAGTAGTTTGATCAATCTCCCCTTCTGCTCCTCGGTTAGGGTCGCGTTGATGATGACGGGGAGCTTGGAGTTCTCTCAAAGGAAAGCATACTCGAGGTGGTTTGGTAATTGCTTTAGTTTGAGAGTTGGTGGTTCTTCGATGGAGGACTTGATTTTCTCCGATTTAGGGAGTTTTACCACCTTCTCCTCCTGCTCCAATTCTTCAGATTCCTCCAATAGTGCAGCTTGCTCAATTTGTTGGACAGAGCTCGTTGTTTCTTGTCCTTGAGTAAGGCAAAGTTGTAAAGCATCTGAATGAAGAATCTCGGAAACAAAGTTAGCAGTCTCAGCATCAATTATATCCGAACAAAAATTGGCATCATCATTTTCACGAGCATATTTCATGCTTTCTGGAATTTTGAATGTCATTTGTTCTTTCCCCGCTCTCAAAATCAATTTTCTATCATTCACATCAATTAGAGCCTTTGCAGTTGCAAGAAACGGTCTACCAAGAATTAATAACACATCGACATCCTCATCAATATCTAGGATCACAAAATTGACTGGGAATATGAATGAACCAATTTTAACAATTAAATCTTCTATGATTCCCCTAGGATGCACTATGGAACGATCAGCCAACTGGATGCTCATTCGTGTATGATTAGGTTCACCTAGCCTTAAACGTTTAAACATTTTATATGGCATAACATTTATACTTGCTCCAAGGTCAGCTAAAGATTTATCAATATAGACAGAACCAATTAAGCAAGGTATAGTAAAACTCCCTGGGTCTTTTCGTTTCTCCGGAAGCTTGTTTTGGAGGATGGCCGAACATTCCTCATTCAGCATCACTGTTGACAGATCCTCCAATTTCCGCTTGTTGGTGAGGATTTCTTTCAGGAAGCGAGCATACTTTGGCATTTGAAACATGGCCTCCACAAATGGGATGTTAACATGAATTTGCTTCAGGAGGTCCAAGAATTTGCCGAAGTGTGCGTCAAAGCGATCCTTGTGGATTCATGATGGAAATGGAATTTTCGCTTGTATTCTGGCACCACGAGCTTTTGGGGCTGAGTGGTGTCCGCATCTTTTTCTGGATTTGTATCTTTATCGGTTTGAGCGGAGTTTCTCGGTTGAAACTTTTTGCCGCTCCGGAGTGAGATGGCCTTCAAATGTTGCTTCTGCTTCGGATGGATTTCGGTGTCGCTCGGCAGGCTGCCTTGATTTCTCTCAGAAAGTAGCTTGGCTATTTGCCCAACTTGTGTTTCCAAATTATGCACAGAAGCTTGAAGATGTCGCTGGCCCGCTTCAAGGTTTTGGAATCGATCCTCGGAGACGGAAATGTATTTGTCCAAAGCTTGGAATTTGGAGTCGGAGGTGGAGATGAACTTGCCAATCATATCTTTGAGACTAGATTTCTTTTCTTGTGGTGGCATTTGTTGATGGTACTGATTGGAATCGCTTGATGATGCTTGATTAAATCCGGGTAGAGCTCGTTGATTCCCTTGGTTGGACCAAGAGAAGTTTGGATGGTTTCGCCATCCTGGATTGTATGTGCCGCTATATGGATTTCCGCTCCTCTGAGGATTGTTGATATAACAACATGCTCGGTGGTAGATGTTGAGGAGATCAACTTGCACTCGGTAGTGTTGTGGTCATCAGCACACCATTCGCACTTGAACACCTTGCCGGATACAGTGAGCTAGTCGAACTTTTTGTTGAGGTTTTCAACTTGTGCGGCCAAGGTTGTAACTGTGTCAACTTGGTGTAGTCCGTCACTTCTAGTTGGCGGTGGTCTGCACTTGTTTCGGGGGGAATACCATTCATAGTTGTTCATTGCCATGTCTTCGATTAGCTGCTTTACTTGGGGAGGTGTTTTATTGTTGATGGTGCCACCCCCTGCTGCATCAATTGATTGTTTCGTCTCTGGATTTAGCCCATTGTAGAAAGTTTGTAATTGCAGCCAATGGGGAATGCCATGATGAGGGCATCTCCTGAGGGTGTTCTTGAATCTCTCCCAAGTTTCGTAGAGAGTTTCAGAGTCTTCTTGGCGGTAGGCGGCGATGTCGTTCCTCCGCTTCGCCGTCTTGCTTGGTGGGAAATATTTTGCTAAGTTCAGCCAACTCGTCCCACGTTGAAATAGAATTATGTGGTTGACCATCAAGCCACTCTCGTGCTCTGTTGTCGAGAGAGAACGGGAATAGTCGAAGCCGAATAGAATCGATGGATGCACCATTGATTCTGATGGTGTCACAGAGCTCCAGAAATTTCTTGATATGAGTGTTGGGATCTTCGTCGAGCATCCCATTGAATTGCACCCGATTTTGGATCATTTGTAGCATCCCAGTTTTGATTTCGAAGTTGTTGGCTTCGATATTGGGCCTTCGGATGCTTGAGTGAGTTTCGTCCAAGGTAGGACGGGCATAATCAGACATTGTCCGATTGTTCACTTCGGGGTGTTCTTCCGTCATTGTGTGTGGTTGCACTTGTTGCTCTCTCCTTCGTTGACGAAGAGTTCTCTGGATCTCGAGATCAAGGTCGACTAGTCCACGTGGGTGGTTTCGGGTCATGCACTATTTCATGCACAAAAACAAGAACAACCCGTGAAAGCAACAAGTGTGATATAACAAGTAACAAGAAAAATAAAGTGACTAAATTAATAGTTCAAAGCTTTTTCTAATAACATAGTCCCCGACAACGACGCCAAAAACTTGATCGCCCGTAATTAACACAGAAAAAATAGGCAAGGGTACCTATCGTTCTACGGTAGTATAGCAGGAAGCAAGGTCGTATCCACATAGACTTTGTGTACTAGTACTCAGCTTTTACCTATTATCTAGTCAATTGTTTTTAGTTGATTTTCGTTTAGAAATAAAAACACACGCAATAATAAAAATCCAATAAAGTAGTTTTCAAAGTAAAATCAAGTGGAGAAGGCGTTGTCCCAGAAGTGAATCCCCCTAATATGCATTTTACAGACAAGTTAAATTTAACATAGACGAGTGTTAATATCTTAGACCGTGAAAATTCCCAATTTAGTGTTAACCCGTTCGCACATGTATTAACACCCTTTCGACTTAAGAATCAAGTGAAACCGTGACTTACAAAAATCTTAAACCAAAGCAATAACCAGATTTATGAATTTTCGTATTAGGTTTTTAAGCTAATCCAGAGGAACTACGTAATCCCATCGCCGTTGGCTCCGATCAATTCCTTCTTTTCACGAGGGATCTAACATGCAAGATTACCTCGCAGTCTCATTTACATGTATTAGACAAAATATACAATAGACGCGTACTATCGATACTTGCACATGATAAGTCCAGAAAAGATCGTAAGAACGAGAACAACACGTCTATATCAAAGATACCACTCAATCAATGTAAAACATATTAGGGTTCATCAAATCCGGAACAACTAGAAGATTAGTCGGACATGATGAGATTTAGAAAGATGAAGGTTGAGAACATTACCATGATGATGACGACGACAAAGACGGAGGGGTTGAGAATACAGTATGTATATTAAGTTAATAAACTACACCTAGAAAACATCTGACGGGGGAATAATCGTTGGGCGAAGACGGTGGAAACCAACGAATCTACCACCACAAATGATTATCAAAACCCCACAGAATAGAAGCTTACTTCGGTAATCTCAATAACACAATATACCACGATATTTCCAAATACGACACGAACATGAGAACCACGATGGATGAAATACGAGATACGATTAACGAAATGAAAAGAAGTAACAAGAGTTTGGAATGAAAAGTGGACAGAGTTTCGACTAACTTCAAATACAAGAAAGTAAGAGCAAAGTGTAGAAGTAGGGTGTATAGTGTGTGTCCTCCTTTTTTCTTCAACACAAACCCTCTCTCTATTTATAGTACAAATTCAGCCACTTGCTTGAGCTACTTGCTTCCATTAAATTCATTTGATTTGCGTCCGCTACTTGCTTCTATTGGCCAGCTGCTTGCTTGTAATAAATGGACCAGCTAGCTTGTCTCTCAACCGATCTGATTTGCGCCAGCTGCTTGCTTTCATTCATGGACGAGGGGATTAGCAGCTGCTTGCTTTCAATGGCCAGCTGCTTGCTTTTATTCATGGACGAGGCAATTAGCAGCTACTTGCTTTCAAATAATGGAGCTGCTTGCTTCTTTGTTTGGACCAGCTTTCTTCAGCTACTAGCTTCCCACGAGAATGCCAAAATGAACCAGCTTTTCCTTATGTTTAGTAGTGGGCAGTTTGACTCGGCAGTTTGTTAATTAGCTCTTTTTCGTGATTCATCACCATAATACACGATGGGTTTCGTATATTGATAACAAAAGGGTACGCGGCCGGAGTGGTACGGCTCTTTGCCCTCGCCTGGGACGTCGCGGGCTCGAGTTCCACCGACGCTAGATTTCAAACCCTAACCATCTTTTTGGTGAATTGACTCATTATTTCGTTCTTATTGGATAGAATACCTTGAAACGTGACTCAAACACAAAACCAAGCATAAAATCGGGAAATCGAATGAACTTGGTACAATTTATGTTATTTTAGGATGTAAAAGTGTAGGCGAATATATGTATAATTTAGGTGTTATCGCACTCATACTCTCATTGTCTATCATAAGCTTCTCTATCATGCAAATCCATGAAGGGGAAAGAGTTTTGATGGTTAGAGAGATGTATGAAGGGATGGTTAAATGGTAGATGAGCAGAATGATCAAGTTTGGGGGTTCATTTATAGAATCACGAAATGATTCTTTCTACAATAATATGATGAAGTTGGAAGAATGAAGTTGGAAGAACAGTTGATGACACAAATCAATCTGATTAAAGTTAGATGAATAGTTGATGGCATTACTCATAATGATTAGAGTTGGTTGAATAGTTGATGACACAACTCAAACCGACAAAAGATGGATGATTACTTGATAGCACAACCCAATCTGACAACCATGTGATGAATCTTTGGCTATATGAACCTATCATTGTGTTTTCGTCATTGATGACGTCATATTGAAGTTTATTTTTTATGTCCAAAAAAAATTACATCGAAATGTTCGCTTTCATTAATTATAACTATCTGTATAAATATAATTCACAAATTATCTATTTAAGATAATGAAATTTACACTAAGAGAGATTAGCAAAAAAAAGGCAAATTTGGAACTTTTGGTTTTCTAGAACTCATCATTGCATCAAAACTACTTTTGGTGGGGCTAGAATAGGGATGGCAACGTAAAGCAGTATGGGTTTTACACATATCCATACCCACGTAAGAATCGGGTAGAAAATCAAAAGCATGCCTATACCCGTTCGGGTTTTGGGTATTTACTATTATCCATGGTAATAATTTATCTTTATAACTTCAACCAATGTGTTAATGTTTACACATAGATTCACATTACATAAGAGGTAAGAGGAAAATTACACACAACAAATGACTAGAATGAAAAAAAATTAGTTAAAACAACACAATTTCATGAAAATATTATATTTGTGTGCTAAATATAAAATATGTTAGAGAAAAATAATGATTTTTTCTAGAAAAATACATATGATGTGTCATGCGTATAATCGGGCAGGTTCGGGTTGGATATTGAGAAAACCATGCCCATCTATTACCTGCAATATTTGGGTTTGGGTTTTGCACGTATCCACTAAAAATCCTTTAGGTTCGAGTTTTACCCTACCCGATTAGGTCTGATTCGGACGGATATCCACGGTTGCTGGTATTTTTGCCATCTCTAGGCTAGAAAGCCAAATCTGGACCAAAATTTAGAGTTTTTCTCTGTTTACATAACCAGACCGGAGGCTGAACCGGAAAAGTTAGTGATTTAGGGTTCAGTGGTTAACCGTTATAAAATCGTTGGTAAACCATTCATTATATATAACATATAAGACTTGTATATTACACTAATTTAAAAATGAAGTTATCATTGACCATAAACAATTTCAAATTCATATCATCACCAAATTATTTAATAAATTATTCAAACCATCTCACAAAAAAATCATATTTTTTAATTTAAATTAAAAATTACGGTACTAGTTGGTAGTGGACAACTTAAAGTCGACAAAATGTTGGAATGATAAGAGGAAACATATATAAAACTAATAATTATGGTTTGATGGTCTTAGTTTATGTTAAAGTTTATTTTTTATTAATTTTTTTTTTTTGTTAAAATAGTGAACCAGTGAACCAATTAAACCGTGCTAGTTCATCTGATTTTATGTTGAATCATGAAAAACAGTTTGATTCATCAATAACCGTCCAAGCAATGAACCGGACCGCTATCATAACTGGTTTAACGGTTCTACTGTTGGAAATTTGGATTGAGCCGGCTGTTCAAATCGATTCAAAATATTTTGAATTGGGTTTAGGTCGACCCATCAAATCCTAGAAAGTGAACGTTGTTAACGACTCTATCACAATCCTAG